ATATAAAATCTTATATTGTGATTTTTCAGTTTGCTTATATTGACTAAGTATTATTTATAATTCAACATAAAAGCTTATATTGTGATTTTTCAGTTTGCTTATATATCTATAAAAAAAAAAATCAAAAACCAAACTTGCAATATATTAAATTTACATTTATAATCCATTTTAGTATAAAAAAATTAAAATACGTTTACACAGAAAGTTCATTGAAACAAAAATTGTATTAGAAGATAAATAGTATAAATCTCGAGCCCCAAAAAGTAACAAAAAATTGAAATAATTTCATCAAGACTTGGATAATTATGACATTTTTTTCAACAACAAAAACTAAATTATCAAGTAGATCAGCATAATTTTTTCTCTCAAATGATTCAAAGAACTACCAGGACAACATAGTGTCGTATAAAGCTAAAAAATCATTCAGAGTATAAAATTCTATAAACTAACCTAAAAATCGACATGATTAGCCTATCATATCATTACAACTACTATTTTGAAAACCAGACCTGGCCGGTTGAACCAGGAACCGGTCAGATCACCGGTTTAATCAGCCCAAAAACCGGTTGTTATTGAAGTGAGATGCATAGATTGAATCAGCATGTTGCCGTATTTTGTTTCTTGTAAGCTATGTGCAATAAATTTTAGGTTAAGAACTTTATTTGTAATTAGAGAGCATGGATACCATTAAAGAACCTTTGTGAACGTTGTTGCAAGAATGCAAAATTGGGGTTCGTAAGTATATTTTTTAAAGAAGGGATGAAAAAAATGAATATATGAAAAAAGGAAGTACCTCACTTAGATGGGGGATAATACGCAAAACCTTTGGATCTCAACTATCAAACAAATGTTGGAATCAACAAAATGAGTGGTCTTGGTTCCCTTCAATTAAGAATCCACTTATCCACCATTAGGAAAAAGGTCAACCATATAAAAAAAAGTTCAACGTTCCAGAATCAAAAAATCATACAGTCAAGAAACATAGCCAATTTGTGTAAATCAAGACACCTCTGAAACTGTTGTTTCCACCAAGTCCCATAACCAATCAGTAATAAAGTCTTTTAATGATGAAAGGTAAAAGGATTTTTTTAAATAAATGTTCCTTTTATTAGGATGGATGAACCCTATTAGCATACGCACAATCTTTTTTTTCTCATTGACTCTATACCCATATAACAACATATCGTACCTCTTTCTACCATTAAAGGCACATAACTTTATATTTTACCCATATAAGCAACCAACTTACATTTTCTACCACAACCAACAATGTGTTGCTATATGAGTAAAATATAAAGTTATGTGCCCTTAATGGTAGAAAGAGGTACATATGTTGTATATAAGCAACCAACTTAAATTAAAATTTGTAATGTATGTTGCATATAAGCAACGAACTTAAATTAAAATTTGTAATGTGTAAACAAGAACCAACAATGTGTTGAAGTAAAAAAAATATGCAAAAAAAAGTGATGTAACGTACTTTGTTTAGACCACTAAGAAACAACGTCATACACTCAACCAAAGATCCAATGGATGCTCCTTTCAAAAACTTTATCCATTAAGACCATGGGAAGAAATAGATATGAGCTTTGGAGCTCATTAGGTCGATGGAAAATGGCTTAACCCTTTAAGTTGTTTTGACCCAGTTCCCCACGACATGGTGATTAGGTACCGTGACACGGCGGATGGGGTATCACGCGAATGTTTTGTCTCTATTAGGCCATGATGTGGCCAATAGGAGGTTACGCCATGTCGACCCTCTGAAGTCAACTTTGGACAACTGACTTTGACCGAATGATATGGGTGTTAACTCTGACTTAAGTTGACTTTTGGTCATGTACCAATTTTAGAGTAAGGATTAAGGTTGGACCTTGTTTGATTCAATAGGTGTGTTGTAGCACCGGTAGCGTGACTGTGAGCGGTGGGTAGCTGATTTCGTGAGACATGTAAGTCTTCTCACTATATTGTAGGATGTTAACTGTCTTTGTAACTCTTGCATTGTATGATGGGCTGGGCCCATTTATTATATAGTGGGTTGGGCCCATTTATTGTATGCTGGGTTAAGCCCATTTATTGTTTGCTGGTTTGGTCCCATTTATCATTTGGTTGGGCCCATTTATTAAATGTTGGGCTGGGCCCATTTATCGGTTTGTGGTATTTAGGGGAACTCATTAAGATTTGTGCATACCGTTTATGGCTTAAACATTTTCAGGTACTTCTAGTTCCAGAGGGAAGGACCCGACTCGACTGTACAACATCCCCTTATGATTTCTGCATCGATGATTATTTCACTCTGATGATTTTGATACATTCGTATTGTGATTGGTTTCTAGACGCATAGTGGATGGATTTGATTATTTTAATAATAAAATATTTTATCATTGTTTTTGGGACGTTACATTTGTGCTTATTCTGATGTCTCAGACGTTTTTAGTATTGTGAGAGTGTATCAGAAATTGGCTCGACTGAATCGCTAGACAAATGTCAAGAACATTATGAGGTATTGAAAGATACCAAGGAATGGTTGCTTGTAGACAGTAGAGAACATGATTGAGAAGAATTATAGTGACATAAATTTTGGAGATGACTTTGAATCATATTCTAAATGGCTATTCAGTTTGATTTGTATCATGAAAGGTTTCATGTTGGAGTGATGGTAGATTCGACAATGTGGGTAAGACCACATTAGTGCAAGTGGAGTATCCAATGAGTGAACCTAGACTAGAAAATTTCATAGTTGACCTTGGATTCGTTTTGAGTAACAAATTGCATTAGAAATATTATATGAAAGTGCAGTCATATTAACTAAGGATTCTTGAGATTACAGAAGGTCAATGCATAGAAGGAGGAAATTCCACTTCATCCAAGAAAAGGTTTGAGAATGGAGATCTAGTTGTGAAGTGAATATATTTTCGATGATTCATTCACAATAATGATGACCAGGGAAAACATGAGATGCATGTTAAGTGCATTGGCATAAGAAATGTTGACAAGTTTAGTTGTTAAGTTGATTACCTTGAAACATTTATACAATAGATAAATATGTAATTGTTATGGTGAATTAATAATAGAGAAGTATTTATAACCAAAAAGTAAGATGCCATAGAACAATTAATTTATTATCCTGTTTCATTTTGCATGTTACTTCCTGAATATTAATTTATTCAAAATGCCACAGTCGGTCATGCTTTTGAGAGTATGTATTGATTTAAGATTGCCATGAATTGTTTGTAGATTGTCCATAGGGATTAGACATGGCATAAGGATTGTTGTAATATTCATGAGTACTTGAAAATAAGGATTTTAAGTATTGGTTAAACACGCACTTAGAGATTACTTCATTGATTCAATCACGAGTAATTCTAAGATGATAATATCTTCTATTCTTTGAACAAAGATATATAAGTCATATTTTGCAAATAAGTTGTGCATTGGTTTAATCCAATGCATATCGTAACTGGGTGTTATAAAGTATAACTTCATGTATGATTTGGTGAGTAAAATGTATGATTATTTAGTCAAAGTTTTTCCGTTCCTTTTGCCTTAACAGGAAAAGTGATATCTTTTGACCACTCGATGATTTATTGCTGACATCTGAAGTGCTTGGTCAAGCCTAGACTAAATGGATGTGTTCAGTTAGTAGTCTGAATTCAATCTTCATAAATCGAAAATCAAGAAATAGAATCTTGGACTATGAGATTGATTCTAATCCATGTCTCATGTCCATACGATATCTTGTATCACAAAGGAATAGTTGATCACTTATCTTAGGACCAACATCTAATCAGAGTTTGGAAGTGTCTTTGGATAACACTCTTTTCTGGTTATTCGTGTACTTACAATTCTAGTTAGTGACTTATCTGTGACATCCCCAAAATCACGGCCAGAAAAGACCGGTTTCATTTATGCTTTTAAAATAATTTAAGAGTAAATCCATTGATTTAAAAGAGTTGCGGAATTTGTCCCCAAAACAATACATGATAAAATAAGGTTTATCAAAGCATTTCTTAAAGAAATGTATTTTTCATTATATAACAAAACTCGGGATGTCATGTTCCGATACAGACACAAAAGCATAAACAATAAAACATAGACCTTACACAGTTATATACAACTACAGGTCTATAAACAAAAACATCTTCACAAGTTCTCCAACTTATGCTCTCGCGCCACTACCTGTAATACAAAGAAACTGAGTGGGTCAGGCTTGGGAGCCTGGTGAGCATATAGGGTTTTCAACTCACAATAAATAATTATATTTAATTTCACCAACCAACAATAACCCGATTACCCATTCCCGTTATCATCACTTTACGTCCCTATGACAGCAACTATTACAAGGGACCTAATCTAGGATTTTTCATCAGGACGGACACTACTGCAAAGGAGTTTCCTCAGCAATGAATGTCCTAATACAACCATGAGGGGGAGACGTGTGGTAAAACCGCATAAGGGGGAGGGGGGGGGCGTTCCTCTGCCTATGTGGCAAAGAGTACGGCCAAACCGTGCACACTCCCCATATTCTTATAAGAATGAAATATACTAATTTTTTTTTTGAACCGGCAAATACAAATATATCAACTACTTCTAAACTAATACCTAATTCCACTTATACAAATATATATTAATATATCTTTTGAGATAAAATATAAAATATAGTTGGGGTTGAAACAGTATATAACTAATTTTTTAGTTTATTTTTGAGGTTAAAACTGGGCTAAAGATGGTCTAAGATTATTAGAGTTGAAGTTGGCAATTAAGTTGATTGGATTCACCAATTCGGTGGAGAATGGATCTGGTAAGGATCATCTATGGACGGCCATCTTGTTGCTAGGGTTGATTCCGATGGAGTTTACGAAGCAATTAGGGGAAAAAATAATTTATTAGTTGATAATGGAATGGTCAATAGGATAGAATAGAAAAAACAGGACCACACACTATTCAGCCTTTTTCTGCTAATAATTATGTCATCCAATCCCTCTTCTTTTATTATTTTGTCTCTTCATTCACATGATGATGCTTTTCCTTGAAGACTTCGTGGATCCTGCATCATGTTGCTAAGGAATTTCCTCTATATGTTGACGTCTGGTTCTTTATATCTGATCCTAGCTCCCATTATACTATCACAAAAACTTTCTTACAGACCTAGGTAACTTGCCAAAGTTATGGCTGATAGATTGTTGTTATTAACTTCAGTACAACCAGGTCGCCAATTTTCTCTTGCAGAGATTCAATCCGCAACCAATGACTTCGATGATGAACTAGTCATTGGACACGGAGGGTTTGGAAAGGTGTACAAAGGTTGTATTTCTATCGAAGAAACTAGTCATGTTGTGGCCATCAAACGGTTGGATTCTAAATCCAATCAGGGGGCACCTGAGTTTAGGGCAGAAATCGAGATGCTTTCAAAGCTACGCCACTGTAACTTGGTGTCTCTCATTGGTTATTGTGATGATAACAAAGAGATGATCCTAGTTTATGCGTATATGCCTAATGGAACCCTCTACCATCATCTACACAAAGCTGAGACTCCTTTAAATTGGATGCAAAGACTCCAGATAGCCATAGGTGCCCGGCCGTGGATTGGACTACCTTCACACAGGTTTGGGCACTAAACACGTAGTCATTCATCGTGATGTGAAGAGTTCAAATATTCTTTTGGATGAGAAATGGGCAGCTATGATTTCTGATTTCGGGTTGTCCAAAATAGGCCCAACAAACCAGTCAACGTCATATGTTGACGCCAGTGTTAAAGGCACGTTCGGGTATCTAGATCCAGAGTATTTCTATACCAGAAGGTTGACAAGGAAAACAGATGTGTATGCATTTGGGGTTATATTGTTTGAATTGCTAACAGGGAGGCTTGCAGTAGATGAAAGCAATGCTGAGGAGAATATCAGTTTGGTAAGATGGGCTCAAAAGTGTGTGAAAGAACGGAAATTTGATCAAATGGTTGATTCTAATATCCAGGGGACAGTTTTGTCCAAATGTTTACGAGGGTTTGCAAAAATTGCATATCGTTGCTTGCTTAGTGTTCTAAAAGAAAGACCTACTATGGCCGAGGTTGTGATCACACTTCAGGATTTACTAGAACTACAGCGGAGACATGACAATTCTGCTGAGGCACCAGGCATAACAGTATTCACTTGGAAGATTCATAAGTTTCTTGCTTCCACAACTAAACAAAACTCGGGTATACCCAAACTTCTCATTGATATTATATGTGCACGTTTGTGTTTATAGTATTAATCTTTGATAATAACTAGCACTTGAATAGCAGAAATATGACATCTTAGAATACCCAAATATAACTACAATTTGTTCAACTTTTTTTTTTTTTTATTTATTTTTATTTCTCAAAGTTTGAGTTAGGTATGTTCTAGTTTTGTTCATCAACATTTAGGTTCCTTTAAACTTAGTCGAACGATGTTGCTTTGTCAAATAAGAACACAATTGATGTTTCCCACTAAAAGATATGCAAGCAAGTTTTATTTTTCACTTCTGACCTTGTAGGTAACTATTTGTAACTCTGTTACCATTTGACATTTTTTTTTCTCTGTTTTCTAAGACCGAAATGGCACAAGTTCATCAAAGAGCCTTGAAATGAACATGAATCAATGCTCTTCAACTAACAAGGATGGCAGCGATCAGGTTGGAGTGCCTTGTCAACATGAGGAATCAGTGGTCACAGATCTAAAACGGTTCCGATATTTGGATTTAAGACGTGCTACGAAGAACTTTGGAAATGGCAGAAACATGAAGGGTATGTGTTTCGTGCAGGTTTACAAAGGTTGGATCGATAAAAGAACATATTCCCCTTCTAAAGCTAATACTGGATTGCCAATTTCAATTAAGACAGTAGACCGGAGAATTTACCTCCCAAATCTTGCATGGGTTAGCAATCTTGAAGATTACCCTTTCTATTTACTTCCTTTTTGAATACGAATCATATTATATCATTTCATATATATGTTTCATTGAACTCAGCACCATTGTGAAACGTGATCAGTGTTGAATGCAGTCTGAGTTGGATTTGGAAATGTTGAAAGAATTTCGTCATCCCAACCTTGAAAAGCTCATAGGATATTGCTTGAAAGGCAAAAAGCTCCTCCTTGTATATGAATTCATGCCTAAGGGAAACTTTGAGGATCACCTATATACCGGCAAGCAACACAAATAAATCCTTGCATAAAGCAAATCTAAAAATACTGCAAATTTAATTAATTTTTTTCATGGGTTGTAGGAACACTATTTACACTTCCGTTGGTTGCAAAGGTGAAAATAGCAGTAGGAATTGCTCGGGGTATTGTTTTTTTGCACAAGTCACAAGATCTACTAGGGGGACGTGTTTTTGGTGAGTCTCGGCTTCACAGAGATAAGATATTGCTGGATGAGGTATGGTTGAGCTCTTTCATTATTCGCATTGGATATCCATGACCAATTATGTTTTGTTGTTTCCCTTTATAATGAATCTCATACACAAAAAGTACATATGGTAATATATTGTCTTATTTGTGTCTTATAGCTGATAACAACCGAGATTTTGATTAAATGTCTTGATTTGCAAAGCATTTATATATAGTTGTGCCATTGGAACTTAAAAAAAACTCTCTGCGTGATTACCTACCTTTCTTGAATTGTATAACATATTTCAGTGCTAAGCAATTTTCTAAATTAAACTTGAATACTCGTTTTCCTGGTTTTACCAATCTCCATTTGATATAAATTTCAAGGTTGTCAATAATATCCCAATCCTAATGGATCCTACCATCCTACCTTTTCAAAACAAGCCGGATCGTATTTGGATCGAGCTTGACAAGCCGGATCGTATTTGGATCAAGCTTGCCATAAGATCATATTTAATTAGGATCGTGGGATCCGGATCCAATCCGATTGTACCATATTATCAAAATCTGAACAGTCATTACCTAATACATTCGTACCCAACATATTTACCTTCTATTTATTCTATTTATTTCACTTTTTTGAACTGTAAAGGACTAAAGGGGTAAGGTAAAAAATATACACAATTTTAGCCACCAAAGACGCTAGTGACACCCTCAAAAATCAAATGAAGAATCAATAAGAACATTCTCAAGAACAGAATCACCAAACAACTCAAAAAATTAAAACTTTAGTTACAGGTTGTTTTGTACATGTCCTTGCTCATTTCTTGATCCTGGTTTTGATATAAAACTCGATAATTCGTTATATTTATTTAATTTCTTATAAAACTCTGCTTCTTTTGTACATTTCCATGTTCTGTATCCTTTGTGTATTTCTATGCTCTGATTTCTGCCTACTGTCACCATTTCCACATGTTTGACTATTGATACGATCTAAGGATCTGGATCTGATCTACAATCATGATCTTAAAAATCCAAAAGGAATCCTATGTGGGAACCGATCTTGACAAACTTTATAAATTTGCAGGATTACACGGTAAAGCTTGCAAATTATGATGTTACTAAGCTAGTGCATGGTGGCTATCCCTGGGGTGTAGCATTTTATGAACTTGGTATTCGCGATGATTATCCAGGGTTTAGTAAGTTACTTTTAACATATCTCCTATACATACCTTCCCTCTTTGGCTGAAAATCCCATCTTTTTTACCAATTTTTGCTAAAAGTCCAAAATATCTCAAATTTTCAGAAATTTTCGAATGTTTTTATCTTTGTTTAATTTTTTAAGTATGATGGACCCCGTTGATTTTCGTTCTGGCTCGGTAACTGCCCCGTCCCTATTGTGTTTTGATTGTGGTGATGCAATTTCGTACATCTGAACAATGAATATTTTTTCAGAGCGCGGTGAACCACAAAGCAATTTCTTGGGCTTTACAATGGCATTCATAGAGGTGATAACAGGGAAAACAATCTCTAATGGAAGAGAATTCCAAAAGATGGATGATTTGTTTATGAAATATGGAAAAATGTCTTTGGTTCATATTGCCCAATCATGTTTTGACATCTGCAATGAGGTGGATTCAGAATCAAATATGCTAAAAATCTTGGAGCAATATATTCCACAGAACAAGGAATTCGCAACAGAACTATTGAGAGCCCGTTATTGTGATGACTGGCTTTACCCAGAAAATTCGTAAGTATCTTCTTGCCATGACTAAGCAAAACGCTGGTTTACACAAACCTTTCATTAGTGTTATATGTGCATATTTTTGTCTTCATATGTAGTTATTCCAGATAATAACTATTTACCACAGCTGAAACTAATACATCATAGGAAACCCAGACATAGTTCCAATTGGGCAACCTCTTTTTTGGTTTCTAAATTAACAAATATGTGTTTTCTAGTTATGTTCAACAATGTTTAGGTTTCTATATAATAATGTTATGGATTTCTTGTCTCTTTCCTGTATCTAAGTCAAGCGATGTTGCATTGTTAAATACGAATGGAATTTTTATCTCCCATGGATAGATATAGGTGCAACTTTTTTTTTTCACTTCCAATCTTGTGGGTAATTTTTTTTGTTAACACTGTTAACTTTTGACGTTTTTTTTCTTTCCCTTTTTTAAGGCCAGAGTGGCACAAGTACATGAAAGAGCTCTGGTGAAATGCCTGGTAAGCATGGGTAATTCTTCATTACACATCTCAAGTGTTTCACATATGATGAACTCAGACAATATTCTACATATGAAGAACTTTCGAAATGACAAATGTTAGAGTGACAAGTGTGATGCAGAAGTTTACAGAGGCTGTATGTGTTCTGAAGCTTATATGATTTGCCAATTGCAGTTAAGAAACATGACTACTAAAAACATGCAAACCAAGTAAAGTATCAGTAGTATAAGCATATGACCTACGGTCACACTTTTTCCAAAACATCCCTGCCACACTTTCGATTATTTGAGTGGCTAAAGTTCACTAGTGAAAGTCTTGCCTAGTCTTGGCCACAATTTATTTACGATACATGTGACAATTTTATATTTTTTCGAAAGCCTTGCCTTTTTTTTTTGATAAAAAAACTTGACAATTACGAGCCATAGTCGAAAAGTGTAAATGTGAACAACTGCAATGGTATTTGTTTGATTTTTGGAATGTGTTTGTCACTATTTTGTATAAGAGGATAGGTACATATATGGTCACATACCCCCATTGTTTATGTGTCTAAATCATAGACCTAAATTAGCCACATGAATATGATGTGGCTACACTACAAGAAAAATCCTTTTCTAGTGATGACCTGCTCACTAACAACATCATTTAGTCACACAACATATTAAGTCGTCACTAAATTTTGGTAATGTTAAAAATTTTATGACCAATTTTATGATGGTTGTCACTCACTGATCACTAAATCATATAATAACATTTAAAAATATATTTTTCAATATCATACAAGCATTAGTAACTAAAATTAATTGTCACTGCATTAGAGGGCTCGTGACCAAAAATAATGGTCACTGTATTGGAAGCTTAGTGACCAAAACTAGTGGTCACTATGTAGTGTTTGTTATTAAAACACGTCTGAACATCACATGGGAAAACTATGACAATAAATTATTGGTCACTGATTTACAAAATGAAATGAAAGTAGTGACCCTAAAGTAGTGGTCACAAGCAATAGCCTCAATTTAAATATCTTAAATATATTTATTGTATTTTGCTATTAGATGTAACAGAAAATGAAAGGAAATTTATTTTTTGGTATTGGACCAAATAAGGTAAAAGTTGCAAAGTTTAAGGGTTATTTCTGTTGAATTAAAAAAATAAAAGAAAAACTAAAAATAACGCAACCCTCGTCTGGAAATATTCATGTCGGACGAGGCAAAAACACACCCATTGTCTGTGTATTCAATCGCCAATCACAAACGCGATGAAGAGGGAGGTCGGGACTGATGAGAGAGAAACAGAGAGATATCGAGGAGGAAAGGTTGTGTTGGACACGACTCTTTATATGGGAAGCAACAATACTTTTATTAAGACACTTAAGAAGAACATACAATTTAAGAGACTACAAGACTTTGCTTTCTTTGAGGCTTTTTTTTGGATACATGGATGCTGGGATTGGTTTGGAGCAAATGAGCTCCACACCTGTTTATAGGTGTTTCCACCTCCATATAGGAAGGTTCTAGATGTACATACATTCATGACTATTCTAGAAATTTCTTTCGTATTTTATATGTATTACAAACTTCTATATGTTTCTAAAATGTTCTATAATGTCCTAGATAAGTATAAGATGTTCTTGTGTCTTCTACGGTCTTCTAGAATGTTCCAAAACCTTCTAGGCTCTTCCATATCATTCTATAATATTCTTGAGTCTTCTTGTATGTTCTAGAATATTCCACGGGCTTCTACTATGTTCTAGGATCTTCTAGATCATTCTAGAACAAACTAACTTCTTCTAGATAATAATATTGGCTCTATTGGGCTAGTGATGATCTTTAACACTCCCCTCAGCGCTAGCCCCCATTCTTCATACCATGTTGACCTGACAATTAAATTCCTCAAAATTTTCACTATTCAACCCTTTGTGAACTCTATCTGCTACTTGGTCATTAGTCTTGATATGTCTAATATTGACTTCTTCCTTGAGAACTTTTTCTCTTCAACATGCTTTGTTTTTCTTTAGTTGTTGCACCCGTTGCTTCATATATTGTTTCTGTAGTTGACAACGACATTTGTGGTTGCCTTTTGTTGCACCATAATATTGTTTCTGGCCCCGTTGAACTCTCTTGTATAGTTTCTTATGCCTCCCTTTGGCAAACTTGTAAGCATGTGGGTTTTCCCTTTTACATACCTTGGAAAATTCTCAAAATATTAACATGTTATGACGTGATCCCTTATTGATCTGATAATCTCTTTTAGATGTTACTCGGTTGGGAGATTCTACTTCGCTCTTACGAATCAATGTGATTTTCTTCTGATCCGCCTTATCCAGTTTCTCTATCACATGTTCTGTTGGTGATTTGTTTCACCAATTGTATTTAAGTGTAATGGGTTGACTTGTTGACCAAAAATCAATCTTGATGAATATTAAACAAATAAGGAAGGTGCGGAGTGCACACTTGTTTAAGTTTATTCAAGATTAAAAGTAGACTGTCATTTAGGGGCGAAGCCCCTGAATGAACGGGGGTCCGAGGGCAGCGCCCCTGGGAGCAGGGTCCAAGGGGTAGAGCCCCTGGTTGGGGTCGAGCTGCCAAGTCAGCGCGGAAATGCGTCAGAAATCCAAATTTTGAATATTTGACCGGTTTTTTGGCTTTGCATTAATCCATATAGAAAACCCAAATTTATGACAGTTTTTTACTGTTGGAAAAATTGTTTATGACAGTTTTTAGACAAAGGGGGGTATTTAACCAATTTTTGATCAGTTTTTTGGTACTTACGAAATTAATACAAACCATTCTCTGCTCTTATTCACTTCTGAGTCTTATCCAATCAAAGATTAGGGAGTACCACCCAAATACTTTGATTTGAAAGTGGAATCACAATTCTGAGAATATCCAAGTGCCTTTATTACCCCGAAATTCTAACATGTTCCACTTTTCGTCTAAGATGCGACTTTTTATGCAACTCTGGTGATTTCATGTTCTTATTCTCCTTTAGAACATCCATCTTTGAGTGAACAACTTCCTCCTTCAAGGTTGTCATAAACTTTGTCTCACTCTTCTTGAGACCTTTGTCGAGTTGCATAGTTGATAGGATTCGGGACCCAATCCTATTTCTCTTTAAGGGTACAATGTGAATTATTGAACCCTTAGTGATACACATGGTATCATCTCTCTCAAATGACCAGGGTCGTACGTTGTCTAGGAAATCCATTCCCAATACCATATGATAGTCATCCATATGCACCACTGTCAAGTCTATGGTGCCTTCCCATTCTGCTATCTTAAGAGGTAGTCCATATGCAACACCAATGATAAGCTTGGATAAAGAGTTGACGACTTTCAACTGGCCTAGATTTTTGGTGTATTTAATACCCAACTTCCTAGCTTCATCTTTAGCAAGGAAATTATGAGATGCACCGGTATCTACCAATGCCTTGGTGTATCATTTACCCTGGCATCCACGAACATTAGCATTCCTCTTTTAGTCTTATTCTCTTCTATGGCATATAGTGCCTCAACATCCCATTCATCCTCTACTTCCTTTTTGGAATTCATCGAATTGCTTTCGACAAATTTTTTCTTTGGCCAACAATCCTTAGACATGTGGCCCCACTTTCCACAATTGTTGTAGTTGTCTTCGACCCTCCTCCCCCGAGAACTCTTATCGCCGGTCTTTTGAGATCTCCATGGTTATGAGGTTCCTTGCTGACTCTTCATTTTGTCAGCATTTGTGTATCCTTCTTTAGAAGGTGGCTTGATATTCCTCCGACTTTTACTTGTGTAGAGTGCTTCCTCTTCACTATTCAACGTGATGCCTCCCATTTTCTTAGCCATAGCTTCTTGGTTGGCCAACAAATTCTCAAACTCTACAAGTGATGGTTGAACGAGCCATCCTTGTACAGCAGTAACGAAACTTCTATATTCCGACCTCAGTCCATGGATGATGATCCTCTTTATTCGAGCTTCTACAATGACGGATTGCGGATCTAGTTCAGTAATCTCCCGACATATCAACTTGACCTTGAGGAAATATTGAGTAATCGTCATGTCATGTTGTGAGATTGATAATAGCTCGTTCTCTAAAAGTTGTAGTCTCGTATCATTCTTCTTTGAGAAAAGCATCACAAACGTGTCCCAAGCTTCTTTTGGTGTGTTCTCGTCCCGAATATGCTCCAACATCTCTTCTTCGATTGTGGTCTTCAAGGCAACCATTGATTTGCTTGCTTTGATTTTCCATTTGTGCAAAGCACCATTAACATCTTCCTCTGGCGGCATAGTTTCGCTTCTGCCAATGACCTCCCATAGATCTTGTCCTTGTAAATAGGACTTCATACATGTTTCCCACATTTTGTAGTTGTTGTTGTTGAGTTTCTTGATTCCTACGACGACTTGGAGATCACCCATCGTGTTGGCAGTACCTCGGTAATACCAAACAAGCTAGTTTCGTCACTAAACTTGTAGAGTCACAGACTACTCACGATATAAAGAGAATCACTCGTTTTCATTATCAAGAAACCTCGCTCTGATACCAGATTGTTGGACACGACTCTTTATATAGGAAGCAACAATACTTTTATTAAGACACTTAAGAAGAACATACAATTTCAGAGACTACAAGACTTTGCTTTCTTTTAGGATTTTTTTTGGATACATGGATGTTGGGATTGGTTTGGAGCAAATGAGCTCCACACCTATTTATAAGTGTTTCCACCTCCATATAGGAAGGTTCTATATGCACATACATTCATGACTATTCTAGAACTTTCTATCGTATTCTATATGTATTACAAACTTCTATATGTTTCTAAAATGTTCTATAATGTCCTAGATAAGTATAAGATGTTCTTGTGTCTTCTACGGTCTTCTAGAATGTTCCAAAACATTCTAGGCTCTTCCATCTCATTCTATAATATTCTTTAGTCTTCTTGTATGTTCTAGAATATTCCACAGGCTTCTACTATATTCTAGAATCTTCTAGATCATTCTAGAACAAAGTAACTTCTTCTAGATAGTAATATTGGCTTTATTGGGCTAGTGATGATCTTTAATAGGCTGAAGGATTAGTTGATGGGAGGTGGAGCCGCGACAGTGGTCTGTGGAAGCGGGGGAGGGCCATGGACGACGAGGTTGAATAGTTGAGGGCTTCGGGGACAAAATTGATGGTGTCCAGCCCTAATCAGCCTCTTAAACCTTCTAATTTGCTTAATTCACGAGGTAATTACAAACCTTAGTTCTACCGATTTTCATTTCAATTGAATGATTCTATTTGAACATTTTTTTACTTCAAATTTTTGGTATACTGAAAGAGAACTTAGGTAAATAAAAACATATGGTAAATAAAGTTTATATAATAAAATAATCATTTATATAATAAAATTTGGTGATTTTTTTTTCAAATCTATTTAGTTTTCTCTAAATAAAAACATATGGTAAATAAAGTTTTTTGATGTGGTTGTATACATCTAAAACTATATTTCGTTTCGGTATTATATTATATTTTCTTTTTTACATATATGGATTGATGTAAAAACACTAAAAC